AAACATTGAACAAAATATGTTATTTATACTAGAAACATTTATGCAATACATTTTTTTACATAATTTTTTAAGTACTGTAGAAAAGACTTAAATTATATATAATAACAGAAATATTACATTTTAGAAATAAATATTTTTTTAGAATAATCCTTTCTCAACTTCAATTTACATTTCTGCATCTATATTTTCCCTTAAACTTTACATTGGAGGCACAATTATCCTTTTCCCAGCACTTCCGCTCCGAGCAGAGTAACCATTCTTCGGCTCGATCATATGCCTAATCAAGTCCCTCCCCCTACATTATTATTGTTGGCATTTAAGTTGACATTCCCGCCCACCGATGCGACCCCCAATTCCGCGAGAGACTCCGCAGACAAGGCGCGTGGCTCTAATGGGCCAAGTTGTAAGCCTGCCATTGCTGCCCCGGGGGCAGTAGTACTTCCCAATGCAGGGCTCCAATTTTTTGAAACCCCAACCTGGATCTGCTCTATATAATTGTCACCATGGGTGTCGCTTGTTTATATATTATTTTCCCTGCTTTTATTTTGTATTTCTTGCCAAAGCTGCAGGCTGTGAGTTGAAATGGCAAAACGTTTAAGCGCAAATTGTGGCAATTAAAAAAGTGAGGCTGAGAGCTATGCAATTGCTTTTCCGGACAGATGCCAACAGGCTGATAAGCACTTGACATGGCTGGCGATGAGAAAATACATATATATTTTTTTTGGGAAATTATAAGTGGACAGGGTGGAGGACGATGGAAAAAGTGTTTCGGCAAACAAACGATGTCAAAAGCAATTTATATGCAAATGGGGGATACAACACAGTGTCGATGCCAACTGAGGCGTTGACGAGTTGGCGAGTCGAGTCAATTGATGAATTTTCATTGCATTTATTTGGGCATGAAATATCAAATATGTTCCGTGAGTGAGTCCTTCGTCCTCCCTTAACCCTTCGCTGACCAAGGACCGAGGACAGCATTTTGAATAATGCAAAAAGGGGAAAATTGTGAAAATGAGTGGCGGTTAAAGGCAAATAAAAGTTATAACAGAGAAAGCATTTGAATATCAAAGCGATGTAATTTTACCCATCTTTGTTGCTGTCAAATATAACTTTTCTGATGTTCAAAATTCATCAAAATTATAATCAAAATGTGCTGTAATTTTTTGTAAAGGGTTAATCTGATAAGATTGAACGTGATTAAGATTTAAGGGAAATGGAAATATACTTTGGAAAATTCTTTGAATATTGCTAGAGGTTTAATTCAGTTATTAAGAGGTTTCTTTGTTTGTCAAATATGTACAAATATAATATAAATCCCCATAAAAATATTTACTTATTTAAATATATTTTATAGTCATCATATAATTTGCGTTTGTAGTTTTAGAAAGTGTAGCTTAACATAATTATACTTTTAAAAATATAGACAATTTATTTTAAAATGTGACAAATGCATAGATATTTACAAATTTAATCTTTTAAATAATAAACATTTTATACCCATTTATAATTGTAAATAATATTTTTTACTACTTAAATAACTTCTATAAATTTTAGTTTTTTCCACTATAATTCTGTAAATAAATTGTATTAAGCAACCATTTTACTAAAAATCACCTGTTCTAAATAACAAATATTAATTATTATCATAAATTGTATATATTATATTCCCTAACATACTTTCCATACGCTAATAAAATAAATAAAAAAAACTAAAAAGCTCTCCTTTCTAAAATCATACATCCCCATTCGATTTGAATATTGTTCCACCTCATGGCCATGAAATTGCTTTCCGCTTTTGCCAAAAAAAAAAAGAGAACCCAAGGCCAAAGCCGATTCCTAGAGCCGCATCAGGATTCGGGATTCATCTCTGGATTGTTATCAACGTCAAGCGACCCATATAACTGCAGGCCCTCGGGGTCGCAGCCAGAAAAAGAACAGCAAGCCGGGGGGCAAAAATGAACTCAAACGAAAAAAAGAGCACAGAAAAATATAAAAACAAATTTAAAAACGGGAAAGCCTAGACAAAATTGGAATGTCGAAGCTTAGACACTCTTACGGGTTGATAAAGGTACTTTTCAATACAGTTTTAAGGCTTTTAAATGCTATTTAGAAGAGAGCTAAGTTGTGAGCTGTGATAAAAGCCTTGTAAGTTAATGTTTTATAATTTCCTTTTATAAAATAAGAAATGGAGACAGCCTTAACTTATACTAAACTTACATATTATTTAGGAACATTTATATTTAAATGCATAAAATCCTATAATACCCCCAGAAAGAGCATTGAAAAAATTTCAAACTGGCTTCATAAGAGGGTGAGGATTCAGTTCCTAGGTTTGGGGTGCGTTTTCAGACCCGGCGCCTGCAGATAGGAACAATAATTGTATCAAAAGCATATTTTCCATTCTGGTAGAACGAATTTTATGCTTTTTCAATAAACATTAACCGATTTCGGTATTTTTTCATATACGAAATACAAAAAAAAAGAAACGAGGAAAACACAACACAAGTTATGGCAATGAAAATGTTAAATGGCAAGCAACCGAAAAGTATGCAATCATTCAAGCGTTCATTATTTCATAGACTGAGCACCGAGGGCATACTGTACAGTATACACACACACCCACCCAATGGCACATTCTGTTGTTCAGTGTGTTTTTTTTTTGTTCTGTTTTAGCTGCTTTTTGAACACACAAATATGCAAACAGAGAGGATATTCAGGTCGTGGAGTAGGGCAATCAATGAGTTGGAAATATTTTTCGTTTAACATTTTGCTATTGGCTTTATTTGTTTGAGTCCTGCCAGTTTTTACTGCTCAGCTTTAGCTTTGGGGGTTATTTTCGATGGCAGCTTGTAATTTTACATAAAAATTATTGGAATTTATTGAGGAATTTATGAATTCAGAACTTGTAATTATATTTGGGGAAGAAGATTTAAATGTAACTTAAGACAATGATCTTTAAGCTTTAAGTATTGGAAAGATGTTGTAATTACCGATTAAAAAATATACAATTATACAATATTTTCAACATTCCCATTAAAGTTAAGAGCTTAAATATCAGCAATCCTTATACCTAATATCACTTGTCATACAGAAGTTAATTTAAGGTCCCTTCTATATATTGTACTAATTACCAAGCAAATCGTAGACCCTTTTTTTCTTTCCCAACAAACATAAGCCCATCTTATAAACCCAACCGAGAACATGAAGGTCACATAGATTGGGGAGGCGACAACATTAGCATTAACATGATGTGCCTTGGCCACTTGTTAGACTCAATTAGATTCATTAGGCGAAAATGGCGCAAGTGTCCAATCTAACTTTGACCATTCCCAGGACTCTCACACACAGTCACAGAAACAGACACAGACAGAGCTAAGACTTAGTCCTCCGTCGGCCAGCGGAAATAATAAATGCTTTGGCACATTAAATAAATGATTATTACAATGGGGGAGCAAGGACGAACCGAACTTTGTGTGCGACTTCTTGATGGGAAATAAAAGCGCAGCAAAAATGTATTTTATTTGCACAGGACAGGACGCAGACCAAGTTATCTGTCGGAAGAGCAGCAGGAAATAAAAATTATCAACGTGCGAAAATAAAACTCAACTCGATATACGGGTTATATCCGTATATAGAATGTATGTGAAAAAGTTATGATTGCCTTGGTACCCATAAAAACTGATTATGCCACTTGATTAGACGCCATTTTCCCACTCTCTCCCCCCAAGGAATGGCAATCGTATAAAGCGAAATATATTTCGTTTAGTTTATTGTTGCACAAACACATCACTCAAATCGCTGAATTTATGATCTGTCACACTGCCCTCCCCAGTCGTTCATAAATGTATCGAATTTTTCGCTTGCCTCGATTTTCCACCCTCGACTTCACTTGCGGCCCATAATTAAAATAATAATTTTCACGAAAAACTTAAGACCTTGTAATTATAATTGTCAGTTGCCAACCCCGAGAAGATGCTTTTGGGGTCCATGAAGTTCGGGGTTGCTGCTCATTAAACATAATTTTTGTGTAAACAAAAGCGAGTGTAACTTGAGAACAAAATCGATGTCGGCTTTCATTTGCTGGCCCACCGTTGAGCTGTGGAGTCTGTATGTGGAATGGGTTGATTTTCTGGGAAAGTCTTTTCCTCTATTACTCTTTTATTTTAAGCCAAAGGCGTTGGAATAGATTTTTTTAGTCACATTTAAAATCTTAATTTGCATAGCCTTGAAGCGAGAGGAAAAGTATCCTTGTTAGATAGAAAATCTTTATTGTTGATTAACCTTAAACATCCTTACTCCTTACTTATAGTAACTCTAAACATAAAAACCGCAAATGATGTCATCACAAGTATTGAAATAATTACAAAAACCTTCAATTTACAGTCTCATCAAAAGCCTTATTCTTCTGTGACATCGATGCCAACTTAATTGACATGTGGAGGACAACAACTCAATGCCTCGGAACAAGCAACTCATTTGCATGTCAACTAAAAAACAAAAGACCATTAATTAGTGTATAACAGCAGAACAGAAAAGGGTCCAAATATATATATGTATTTAGTATATAAAAAACAATTGGCAATTGGCGGGAATGTGAGAGCTAAACTGGTTAATTATAGTTAACCCTCCAAAGGCAGGAGTCGCATGATACGACAGAAATACTTAACCGCAAACAACTTGTGTCGTCATCACATCAACGGCTGTTGGCCAATGAAATGAAGTTGGTATTGGGGTCCCTTGCCTATAAGGGTTTTTCGGGATATCGGTCCTGTTCAACTGACCGCAAGAATATGTCCGAGTAAATTGAAAAACCAATTTTATTGACCCTCCGGCATTCGAATTGAAAAGTGAAGCGTATTGAAAATGATTACAATGAAATTGAAATTTTATTGGTTTGAAATCGAAAAAGGTTTTAGACTGTAATGAAATAAAAAAGAAACGAGAGTTAATCGGAAGACGAGTTACAAATTCTAAAAGGATCGTAATTTAAGGGAAGAAAGTTCCAGTACATAAATTCAACTTTTTAATGATCTTGATTTAGATGTATTTGATATTATAATAACAATATGTTTATGCATGTGTTAAAACACATTAGATTTTGTAAAACTGATATTAGTGATCTTAATAAAATGAAAGATGATCCCTATTACACCTCTTAGCTTGGCGGCATCAGCTGCTGGCATCCCTTGCAGTAGTTCTTGGCATCAAGGCGCTTTGCTTTATTCTTTTGCATCTTCATCAGGACGTAGATCGCACCCATGGACACATAGGTAGCCTTGGCTACCTGCAAGAGCAACTTATACTGTCAAAAGTACTCTAGAATATCAAGGATCTTAAGGATTACTTACATTAGCGCGTCCCCGCAACGTCCGGCTGTTAAAAACATCACTAAATTTAAAGTTTTCTGACATCTTTACAGGATTTCGTCAACAAAGTTGAAAATGAAATCGAGGCAGACCTTGAACACTATAGACAAGGCATGCTACGATACTAAAACGAATGCCTAACAATTAATATGTTATTATTTTTGTAAACATTAATTAATATCATATGTAGGTTTTATTTTATATATTCTAAACCTCAGACTCCACCCATAAAAAAAAAAACATATAACTCTATTTTTATAAACTAATTTAGGGCTTAATTTATATAAATAAATTAAAAATTAATAACTTCCTATGTGAATCTTTATACAAATCGGTTTTGTTATAAATTTTCTTTTTAATTAACATCTTCGTGAATCCTTGCATGATTTAAAAAGTTACAAAATGATACTTCAAATCTCCTGCAATTAAATAAACATAAAATTCTAAAGACTTGGCCAAATATTTTCAATAACCAAAATTGGCTGCAAAATATATATAATACTAGCGAGTATGTCTATGGTGTGTGTGAAGGACTTTGCAGTGGGGAATGCTTGTGGTCGTTTTAAACAAACCGCAGGTGTTGCATACATTTGCCAGCTTTGCATTAATTATGATGTGTGTCTCGGCGAGGGAACAGAGAACAGAGAAATTGTGAGAAAGACAGTGAGAAAGGGAGAAAGGAGAGAAGGTTTCTGGGGTCCAAGGGGGCGTGGCGGCAAAACTATTTGCCGCACTTGCGACCAAAAGCTGGGAGCTCGTACGTAAAATTGTAGCATACTTATGGGCTAAAGTAATTTTATTGCCATGCACAGGAAGCTGCAGCGACGCCATTGTCCTCCAGAATGGAGTAAGACAGAGAGAGAGTGAGAGGGAGAGAGAGCAGAAAAGGGGTTTCCCCGTAGAGCTCCTGGCACATCGTGTGACCCGTAAACTTTACAGTTTCTTTGTTTGGACTTGGCCAACGTGCCGGGTTCCAAGTTTGTTGCCGCTCTTATTATTTTAGTTGGGTAGTTTTCGCTAGTTTCGCTGGGTTTCCAGTGGTGCACTAAAAAAAATGAGGTAAAGGTGATGCACATGAAAGTAAATTAGATAATCCATTTTCAAAAATGTAAGAATCTAAGTTATTGCTTAGTAAATGTTTCCTGCCCTTAGTCTAGATTAATATTAAAATTTATGAATATTTCAGAAACAACTCTATTAAAAACAGCTGTTTCATGTTTTATGTAAACAAAATATTCTTTTTCATTTATAGAACAAGTTCCCTATTTATATTCAAACTTTCTTTATTTCTTTATTTTCATACTCAACAAAATATTTTTTTATTTTCTTTATTCTTTTTCTTTTATATAATAAGTTTAATTCATTATGAAGTTGTTTTACAACTTTCTTCTTTTTCCAATAAAAATATAATTTAAAATTTTTCCCAATACTAATATTTGTTTATTCAATTTAACAATTATTTTTTTGAACTGTTTCTTTTGAACTCCCACAGTGAGTGGATGATGTGGAGATCCTGCGTCCTGGGTATGCGTCCGCACATAAAATGTTATTGCGAAAAACTATTAAATTTCTCCAGAGATGAAACTATGATCAGAAATTTAAATCGATTTATTAAAAGCCGTCGCCAGTTGTTCGTTCAAGTGATTGGAGTTGGTTCCCTTACTTTTCTCCAACAGGAAGGAGCACCAGTGGCTTCCAACTGCGGAAAGGAACATGTGTTGCCGTACAAAAGTTTCTGTGACCGAACAGTGAAAGGGTTTCCACAGTGAGGCTGATACTTGATTGATGGGAAAGGAGTTGATACAGTGGGTTTACTAATAGTAGAAATATAGAAAAATATCATTAAATTATTTTTAAATTCCTTACTTATTTACTAAAGCTTTAAGTTGTACCCTAAGACAAATAACAATACAATTATTACATTATTTTGAGTGACCTAAGTTCCTTGCCTAAGGAATTAAGTATTATTAGAAGTAGTCAAGTAATATTTAGTTACAGGTATTGAGCATTGATTTAATCAAAACAAAACTCTCATTTATGATTATCTCAACCCACTATTCAAAGTTCTTTACCGGAACCCATATTCCATCCGCATTGGCAGTCATCTCTGGGACAAAACTGGAGAGGAAAAACAAAAGTTACTATGTACACTTAATGTCTAGACAAAGCCTCCAATTACCTTATCCGATTACACGAAGATTTGCCCCACGAAGTGTTGGACGTTGGACTACGAAGCCCAAAAACCGACCCGTTGCCCCAAACCCATTGCTGTTTTTTTTGGGAAAACCCTTGACCCGGCATGCCAGAAACTCTCTTTGGCAGGAAATCTTCATATTACTGTTGTCCCTTTTTTCGGATTCCCCCCTTTAACCCCTTAGAGCGGAAAAATGTTGAAATAATTTGGGCAAAAGAAACGTTCTCACACCTTTTTGTTTAGGGGGAAAAGGAGGTAAAAAGCACTTAAGTGCCTTGGCCAGGACTCGGGTTTTTAATTGAAGTGCAGTCTAGAGTCCTTGTGTGGGTGTGTCGTTTTTCAAGCAGGTGTAAAGTTAAATCATAAAATGAAATTAAAATAAACCAAACCCAAAGCTGGATGAAGCTGAAGCTGAAGCCAAACGTAATGAAGTACGGAAAAAAAGGAGTATAAAAAGGATTAAGCTTGGGCTAACTCGACATCCCAAAGGGTTTCCGGTTGCCTCCCCTGGTGCCCATAATTAGCTGCAAGTTGGCTAAACAAATTTTTCCAGAAATTTTTCTAAAATTTTTTTGCTGCACATTTTTTGTTAGAACAACAACATTTTGTTATTGAAAAATTCATGAGTCCCAGACTGAGGGCCTAGAAGATGGACACAAGGACTCGATGGGGGCGTAACAGGGGCGTGTCACGTGTCTTTTACTCTCTCTTCCTTTAAAAGTAGTATTTATGTTATAATAACTTACTTGGTGGGTATAAATTCTTTAATGAAAATATATATATTTTTTTATAATATACTAAATAAGGAAAGAGTGTTTAATTAAACCTGAATACATTCCTGAGAGCTTTCGTTTTCCTTTGCTATTTTTTTACTTATAACTATAAATAACTCCTATAAGTCTGGCTTTAATTTATTGTAACCAAATTATACCCGAACCTCTTCTTAAACCCTTTAACTATCCTTTAAAGCTTACGCCCCTGCCAGTTGTCGACGCAACCGTTTTTGTCATATTACAATATAATTTATTAAAATTCTTATTTGCCAACGCAAAGGACAGCAGCAGGAAGATGTCAGGAGAGATGGCAAGAGTTGGCCAGAAAGAGACCAAAAGGGGTCGCACCACACACACACATTCACTACAGAAGGAGCACATCCTTTGCTATAAAAACAAAAGCGCCTCGTTAGTGTTGAATTTTTAATAAAAAGCCGCACATGATACTCAGAGAAAAGAGCCAGAAAGTAAATTACAATATTCCTTCTATAATTTGTTATAATGAGGCACATTTTCCTCCACTTTGTTGTGTTATGTGAGTGTAATTGCATTCTGGTGGCCATTAAATAGATAGAAAGTCCGGCCAAGCTCCCTTTTTCGCATTTGCATATGGAAAACGCAATCAAAAGCCGCCCATAGAGTCAACAAAACCGCTAAGTAAACTCAAACAGAATGAATGGTCAGTCGCTGAAAGGGAAATTTCGGGAGGGAAAGCCCACCTGAAAATCCCGACATTTCATTTCGATGGCCTCGCATTTGTTTGAACTTTAGCCGAATGCACACGCCCCCACATATAAACACATAGCATATATACATATATACATTCACCCGTATAAACACACAACATCCGCCGTCATTCGGTTCCGGTATTCGGTGTTTGTTTTTAAGGTTACGCCTCCGGAATCGGCCAGCGGAATCGGGTGGGTCAACCGACGACAAAACGCAGGGTCAGCATATTGCGCATACGACGGGGGGGATCTGGAAAAAAAAAGATAACTTTGGCGGAATAAAATAGGGTAAAAATACTCATTTAATTATCAGTAATGAATATTTTTACTCTAACATAATAGTTATACAAAACATTAAGATTTTATGTTGAAGCATTACTCATAGAATTCTAACAGAAATATTTAATATTATACTTATTCTTGTTATTAAAATTCTAGTCAATACCTCAGTTATGAAGGAGCCATTTCCGACCCAATAAATCATATATATTCCTAATCAGCATCAACAGCCGAATAGATCTAGCCATCTCCGGTCAAAAATAAATTATTTTATTTATTTTGACAATTACATCGTTAAAAGTTTCAAAAATTGGGAAAAATTTTAATTTTAAAATTATGTATGCGAATTTGTTAAGCTAATAAAAACTAACATAGGAAAGCTTTCCGAATTGAATCTGTTAAAGTGTTTTTGGCTTAGTTATGAGTTTTTTAAACTGTAATTTGTAGAAAAAATTGTCTTTTAAAAATATAAATAAATAACGATTCAATGAATGCAAATATTTTGTGCTTAGTTTTGATTGATTATTGATATTCCGTTGCAAACTGAAAGGTATATCAACTTTGGCTTTCTTAACATACGTTAAAATATTCTTAATGGTTAAAATATATAAGAGCGTTTTTTGTAAATTAGTATGATATTTAGGAAATTATTTAAATACAAGTTTCAGATGTTTAAAATAATGAAAAGATGGATGTAAAAAATATACATATCTAGAATATGATTTTAGCTTTAGTATGCCCTTAAAATTAGTCAATAAATTAATTAAAACTACAAATAAATTAAAGAAATAAAATACCAATATCTAAGCAATGAAAACAGTAAAGAACAATTCTTATCTACCGAAATGAACAATTTTTCAATTGTTTTCTTTTCCAAGCCAAAGCACAACAATTTCCCCTACCGAAAAATCTTATAAATCTCTCCAAGAAAATTAGCCAAACAAATGATGCAGAGAGAGAGAGGCAAATCGGAAATGCCAGGAACAGGCAATTAAAGAGCAACCAATACAACTCACCCCAAAGGGAAATCCTTAACGAATCCCCATTCCCCAAACCAAACGAAGCAAACGGAAAATTCATTACAAACAAATTAACAAATAAATCAAATTTCAATACGAAAATTTGTTTGCGAAAACAATTTTGAGACGGGTTGTCGAGTTCCTGTAAGTTTGAAGTTCAAATCGCGGGTTTGGGGGGAGGAGAGCTCTGTACAAATCGCATGCCACGCCCCAACGCGGACAGGGAGAAAATGTAGAATCCCATTTGACTGACAGGCGGCAAATCGTCTGAAGCCGAGAGCCGGCGCTCTTGAGAAATCATTTATCTAAATTAATTCCTGTCGTTTACATTTGCCAGGGGATTTTCCGAGGGGTAAGTTCGAGGGATATAAATGCAAACGAAAACAAAAATCAAAGATTAAGACAAACATTCACTACCAAAAGAGTGGGAAAGGGCTGGGATGCTGCGGATGAACTGCCAATTGCCTGGAAGCTAGACAAACTCACGCCTGAAAATTTCCTAACCCACTGATAAATGATATGAATGCGCATTTCTGTCAACATCGCGTCGCGTTAATAACTCATTTTGAAAATTCCACAACAAACCCACACACGAGTATAGAAAAAAAAACAGCCTACCGAAAAACAATTAAAATTGTTCTTAGACTGAATTCGCAACATTTTCAACCCTTTTCAGAGGGGGGGTTTTCCCCCACCACGCACCACGGGCGGTTTTCTGTCTGCGGAAAAGTTAGATTCATCAAAATCGCGAGGAAAACGCGGCGCGACTAAGACGCACGCGGTTTTTGACGCTAAGCTCACTGAAAGATGAAAAGTCGTAACGAGAGTAAGAGTTAACCCCTTAGAACTATATATATATCTGTATATTTGTATATAGGAAATCGAGAGCGAGTGCCAGAGAGATTTAAACTTGTTGTTTGAATAATTGGTTCTGTCAAAAGCAGCAATTATAATGCCCGAGTCGCGCTATAAATGATACATCAAATGGAATTTTCAATTACATGTTCAATTCGAAAGCTTAATATTCACATTTACATAAAATAGCTGGAATAACCTGACTAAGAAATTAATATCTTTATATTAGTATGAATGATTGAAATGGTAAAATAATTTAATGAATGTTAAAAAGAATTTATTTATATATAATTAAGAAGTAAAGCTTTAGAGATTTTTCCAAAGTAAACTTGCTTTAAAAATTATACAAGCTTTCTGTACTAAAACTATTTTTAGTTTAGTATATTATTTGACTTTAATATTTAACATAATTCATTTGTATTTATTAGAAACGGAAAAGGGATTTTGCAAACATTTAGGTTTATAATTCATAATATTATATAATTTGTCTTAATTAACAAGGAAAGCTATTGTTATTTTCAAAAGAATTTATTTATTTATTAAGTTTTATTCTAACTTTAAGCTATAAACTACTGTGCCTCACAAATCATAGGAACTTTGTGTACTAAAATTAATATTCTGTTAGTTAAGTACATTATTTGGCGTTAATAGACTCTGAAAACTCTGTAAATGTTTATAAAATAATCAATCAACTCCCTTGAAAATGCTTTGATGCGGCGGCTCAAGTAAAACATTATTAACAAATTCTGGTGATTTTCTGGCATAGGCCACCACCAACTTATAGGGTGATAAGAACTTTTGATCCTGATTGCTTTCACCTTGCTGCAAATTCATTGAAATGACAATTTCTATGAAATCATCTAGGAAATCTTCATGTAAAGTTGAAGGCATGCGCTCCAGAAAAGGACAAATGGCTTTAACGTTATCTGGAAATAAAAAATATATTTTTTATTAAATTATTTATATATTTATTTATATATTATATATAATTTCCAAGTAATTAACTCACCCTTTAGGGTCCTCACACCTTCATAGACAAACACTTCATTGCGTATTTCCACATTGTGATGAATGAAACCCACTTCATTGAGTAACTGACTGAATTCCTCGCCAGGATTCAAACTATAGTGCAGTGGCGATATAAATTGCTCCACATCCTGCATGTAGCTCGACCATTTCTCTTTTGTTTTAAGGATTTTGTATACCTCGTAAACCGGATTGGAGGCCAGAAAGGCCAAAAGGCAATCACCGCCTTCGGGTCGCAGAAGATTGTAAATATTGCCCAGGGCTCCCTTCAAGTTCTGCACCCAATGAAGGCAGTAAAACGAAGTGACATGATCGAATCTTCCTCTCAACTCCTGTGGCAGACTTTCACAGCCAATGTCCAGGACCTGGAACCTGGTCCGCTCCTCTCGCTGATAATGCTTACTGGCATAGCCCACCATCTGGCTGGATATATCAGTGCCCACCAATTGGCCACGACTCGGCAGCAGGGGTTTCACAAAGTCCATGAGCACATTACCAGATCCAGAGCCCACATCCAGGAGCGTGTCCTCGCCATCGGTTCTCCACTGTAGCGTCGATGCAAACTCATCCAGTATCAGCTTGGCATCGTGCCTTTGCACCTGGTTGGCGTGCTGATATAGAGAGGCCTGATTCATCTCGGCGACTGATCGACAGCTTAGCCGATCTCCAGCTTTATATAGATATACGCCAGACCAGCCATCGTGGCGTCATTTACAGATTCTAATTTCCTCTCAACAGAAACAAAAAATATTTATACCTCTCACTCACTCACAACAGCTGATGACGTCGAGGTAATTTTGTATTATTTATTTTTAAAGCTTTGTAATTTTATTGGTTCCGTTAAGGGAGAAGCTGGGGAAAAAATGTGAGCGAGCGACTGAGAAATATAGAAACTGTTGTTGACGCTCAAAATACACTAGTCTACAAAAGTTTTAGAGTTATTAAAATATATTTCTTCATTATTTCATAAAACATTGATGTCATTTTTAAAAGGTTTAAATGAAAACATTGTTATAGAAAACACAGAAACCTTGTACTTATTTATTTAGGTATATTTATTCAGCACTTCTTATAAAACAAATATTAATTTAATCTTTTCGGATTATGTATATGTATATTACGTATGTGTGTATATTAAGTATATATTATTATTATTAATATATGTTTATGATATTATATTTAATGTTATTTTAATTAAATATATTTTTAATGTATTATTATGCACTATTTTTATACACTAAAGTCATCAAATAGTCTTCCAACCGTTTGGAATAAATATTAATAATAAATTTCTATTTAAAAATTTTAGATGGAGTAGCTAAAACTATTAATTTAGTTTTTAAAAATTATTTATAATATTATACGATAATTTTGATTAAGATTTTATAATATTAACTAAAATGTAGGCATTTTATTCGTTCTTATAATTCTACTTATTAACTATATAAACTTTTAAGTAATTTCAAGTTGAGTTTAAATTGCACACATAGAATTCTTTAAAGTTGTTGAATATTTCAATGCATTTATTAAACGCGTAATAATAACTTTTATATTCTTTTTAGAAAACTTCTTAAATAATATTGTCAATTTTTCTTAATTAGTTAGCTCACAAAATATATTTTTAATTTATTTAACAATCCTTAAGAAAGCCTCCCATTATCGTCACATATCTCGTTCATAAGAAAGCTCAAGTTCTAGGTCAATAGAGTTAGCTAATGCTTCCTTCATACAATTACGACTTGAAGGTACGTAACCAGGCATTGAAATGCAAATCCCAATTGAACTTGAGAAAACCCCTGGAAGTGAATTCCTCGTGATATTAACATACTTTTTTATGAATAGTGTACCAGCCTCCAATGGAACAATGAGAAATCCAAGCACAGCAAACTGAATGAGAATGCCCGAAAAATAAATACTCACAATTATTTAAGGGGTTCACCCGAAAGTGCAGAAGTGAAATATTTTTGGGAGTGCATTCAACCCAACATTCAACCAAAAAAAATTATATATAAAGAAATTAAAGTTAGTTCAACGACCTACCCCAAGAATGACTAAAAATAGTGTGTGCAGGAAGGGGAAATCTATTCTTAAAGCGGAATTACCAATAATTATTTATGGAATTATAAATAGCCATTGGTAAAAATGATGAAAAGTACTTATATTTGGATGGAGTGGCAAGCAGAGTTCACCCTTTCGAGTTTCTCTGATATCATTTCAGTTCGGGGCATATAAATTCATTAAAAACATTCCATTTAGCTGCAAATTACATTTGTGTAATTGCTGTCAGGCCCAGAGAGAGTGAACGTAGCTCATGATATTTCAAATATTTCACATATGAGCAGAAGCCGTTTGATGTCCTGGGATATATACAACTCTACCTCGACACAGCATCCATATATTCATATATATAAATTCATTTGCCAAAAGTGACATCAAAAGCCCTTGCCGGCATTTCTGTTTCTGGCCTAATGTGTGTGGGCGTTACGGCTGGTTAATTGCATTTGTCGCAGACTCTTTTCGGCAAAAAGGGGTTTATTCGGCTTGCAATTACCAAAAGCTGTCGATTGGCTCGAGCTGTCACAGAGCCACGGAAATCAATTAAATCAAGGACGAACTGAAGCGAACAGAGAGAGAGCTTCAGGATTTAGGATGACAGCTGGGAGTTGAGTTTTCTTCCGGCTAAGAGGGAATTTTAATGCATTTATCAAACATAACTCAATTATTTTGCCAGAGAGATGTTAGATATTTGTGGTAAGAAGAGGCTTAAGTCCTGATTGTTGTCTTCAAGAAATTTATTTCAAAGTCTTATAGGAGAAGACAAAAGTCCATTAAGAAAGTAGAGCAGGGCATTTAAAACTTTATATAATGGAATATATATACCCTTGCAGGGTATTATAATCTCAGTCATAAGTTTGCAACGCTGTGAAGGAGTTATATCCGAACATACATAATAACATACATACATAATATCAATGAACACTAAGTAACTATGATTAGTAATTAGGTATGATAGGTAAGTATCTATGGCCAGTAAATAACTATGATCGGTAAGTATCAATGAACAATAGGTAACTATGATCAATAAGTAACTATAATAAGTAAACAACCATGATCTGTAATTAACAATGAACATTAATTAACTATGACCAGTTAGTATCTATGAACACTAATAAACAATGACTTGCAACTTTTGTAACAACACATTTCTTAGACTTGGCCGGCAGCAGTCACTTCGTTCCGGGGATGTTAGAACCAGTTGGGAATCATATACACAGATGTGGTAGATGTGTTTTGAAACAAATTTAAGAGAAAGCTATTTGAATAAAACTATGAAGTTATTCTTCTATATAATTTTATTAGTATATAAATCGGAGCAAGCCAAATCGGTGGACTATATATATACATATATATACCTGAAATAGGAACAATCGGACGATTTAAGGAACTTTGATCAGTAATTAACTATGAGAGGTAAATAACTTAGAGTAGTAAGTAACTCTGAACAGTAAGTATCAATGAACATTAAGTAACTATAATCAGTAAGTAGCTATGGGCACTTAATAACTATGATCAGTGATTAACTCTGAGCAGTAAGTATCTATGACCAGTAAGTATGTGTGATCAGTTACTCACTTTGAACACTAATAAACAATGACTTGCAACTTTTGTAACACAACACATTTCTAAGACTTGGCCGGCAGCAGTCACTTCGTTCCGGGGATGTTAGAACGAGTTGGGAATCATATGCACAGATGTGCGAGATGTGTTTTGGAACATATTTAAGAGGAAGCTATTTGAATAAAACTATGAAGTTATTCTTCTATATAATTTTATTACTATATAAATCGGAGCAAGCCAGATCGGGGACTATATATATACATATATATACCTGAAATAGGAACAATCGGACGATTTAAGGAACTTTGATCAGTAATTAACTATGAAAGGTAAATAACTTAGAGTAGTAAGTAACTCTGAACAGTAAGTATCAATGAACATTAAGTAACTATTATCAGTAAGTAGCTATGGGCACTTAATAACTATGATCAGTGATTAACTCTGAACAGTAAGTATCTATGACCAGTAAGTGTCTATGACCACTAAGTATGTATGATCAGTTACTCACTTTGAATACTAATAAACAATGACTTGCAACTTTTGTAACACAACACATTTCTAAGACTTGGCCGTCAGCAGTCACTTCGTTCCGGGGATGTTAGAACGAGTTGGGAATCATATGCACAGATGTGCGAGATGTGTTTTGGAACATATTTAAGAGGAAGCTATTTGAATAAAACTATGAAGTTATTCTTCTATATAATTTTATTACTATATAAATCGGAGCAAGCCAGATCGGGGGACTATATATATACATATATATACCTGAAATAGGAACAATCGGACGATTTAAGGAACTTTGATCAGTAATTAACTATGAGCGGTAAATAACTAAGAGTAGTATATAACTCTGAACAGTAAGTATCAATGAACATTAAGTAACTATAATCAGTAGGTAGCTATGGTCAGTTAATAACTATGATCAGTGATTAACTCTGAACAGTAAGTATCTATGACCAATAAGTATGTGTGATCAGTTACTCCCTTTGAACACTAATAAACAATGACTTGCAACTTTTGTAACACAACACATTTCTAAGAAGTGGCCGGCAGCAGTCACTTCGTTCCGGGGATGTTAGAACCAGTTGGGAATCATATACACAGATGTACAAGATTTGTTTTGGAACATATTTAAAAGGAAGCTATTTGATTAAAGCTATGAAGTTATTCTTCTATATAATTTTATTAGTATATAAATCGGAGCAAGCCAGATCGGGGGACTATATATATACATATATATACCTGAAATAGGAACAATCGGACGATTTAAGGAACTTTGATCAGTAATTAACTATGAAAGGTAAATAACTTAGAGTAGTAAGTAACTCTGAACAGTAAGTATCAATGAACATTAAGTAACTATAATCAGTAAGTAGCTATGGGCACTTAATAACTATGATCAGTGATTAACTCTGAACAGTAAGTATCTATGACCAGTAAGTATCTATGACCACTAAGTATGTATGATCAGTTACTCACTTTGAACACTAATAAACAATGACTTGCAACTTTTGTAACAACACATTTCTAAGACTTGGCCGGCAGCAGTCACTTCGTTCCGGGGATGTTAGAACGAGTTGGGAATCATATGCACAGATGTGCGAGATGTGTTTTGGAACATATTTAAGAGGAAGCTATTTGAATAAAACTATGAAGTTATTCTTCTATATAATTTTATTACTATATAAATCGGAGCAAGCCAGATCGGGGGACTATATATATGCATATATATACCTGAAATAGGAACAATCGGACGATTTAAGGAACTTTGATCAGTAATTAACTATGAGCGGTAAATAACTAAGAGTAGTAAGTAACTCTGAACAGTAAGTATCAATGAACATTAAGTAACTATTATCAGTAAGTAGCTATGGGCACTTAATAACTATGATCAGTGATTAACTCTGAACAGTAAGTATCTATGACCACTAAGTATGTATGATCAGTTACTCCCTTTGAACACTAATAAACAATGACTTGCAACTTTTGTAACACAACACATTTCTAAGTAAGTAAG